TATATATATATATATATATATATATATATATAAAAATTTCCCTTCTTACCCTCCGTGGGTGGTCTCTCTCTCTCTTTCATCCTCTGAGCTCGGGTCCTCTACCAGAGGCCTGGGAGCTTGAGGTTCTCCTCCAGTATCTTGGCTGTGCCTAGAACTGCACATTTCTGGACTGAGATGTCTGATGTTGTTCCTGGGATCTGTTTGAGCCACTGCTCCAGTTTGGGGGTGACTGCCCCGAGGGCCCCGATGACCACAGGCACCACTGTGGTCCTCACCTTCCAGGCCTTCTCCAGTTCCTCTCTGAGGCCCTGGTATTTCTCAAATTTCTCGTGCTCCTTTTTCCTGATGTTGTGGTCACTTGGTATTGCTACATCCACCACAACGGCTTTCCTCTGTTCTTTATCCCCCACCACAATGTCCGGTTGGTTCGCCATACATACATACATATATATATATATATATATATATATAGTATATAGATAGATAGATAGATATTTTTAGTTCTACAGATGTTTAGTAGAGATAAGAAATAAAAAGCTCCAAGAGTTTTTCAGTTCTTCAAATAAGTCATGTATCTTATGGAAAATGTTCTCCACATTAATGCAAGAAATTAGGATTTTAACCAATTACTGAAAGTTAACATAATTAAAACAAGAAATTTATTATTAAAAAGCAGAAATTAAAACTCTTAGGAACATATTTATGTGACGGGTATTAGGGATACAAATGAAATTCCTGCTAAAATATGTTTCATAATTCTCCTGTGATTGTTGTTTTTTTGCGCCCCCTACTGGTTGCATATAAATTCGATGAGAAACCGATAATTCCACGCAGTCTGTTCAGCGCTCTGCTCTGGTAGATAAGTTGACCAGTAGGGAGAGTCATTGTGCCATTTGTGTTTGTCAACCACCAATTGCAGTAAATCGCCTAAAATCCAACTGACTTGCCTCCGCTGTGTGCATGACCGGACGAGTAAGAGGAGCTGTCACATTTATACACACTTTATAAAGGAAGTAACAATCCAATCAGATTTATTATTAATGAAAATAAACGGAAAAGCTTAAAGAAATAATTGAAAGGGTGTGAATATTAAAATAGACGAAGAAAGACAAACTTTACTCCCAAAATCTACTGGGAAACCTCCCGCGAATGATGATCAATTTAGTAGTTAAGTTCTTTTAAAATAAGACTATTTATTGTTTATCTGCTGTTTTACCCTGCAGTCCAATAGGTGGCGGTAATAGACCTCCACGCTGGTTGCCCACCGCTTGAAAACACCAACAGAGGAAGGAGGAGAAGAAGGAGAAGAAGAAGCGGGGCCATTTGAAAACAAAAATGGCGGAAGTTCGGAGGTAAGTTTTCTCTGAAAGATTCGAAAATCTTTCAGATTGTTGTTAAAAAGTTTAAATGTTAAGGAGTTTTAACTTCCTGACATACAAGTATGACCTGTAAAATTATTTTAAGCATTAAAAACTGCATTTTTATTCATCCCAGTCCGGTTTCGTCTGAAACTGACACTGTTTCTGTCGGTCAGAGTTCTGGAGCGCTGTGACCCGGTTCTGTTGGAGCCCTGCGGTGAACCCGAACCGGACTGCGCCGAGGCAGCAGGAACGGTTCTGTTCCTCACGGTCAGTACCTGGTCTCTGGTCCAATCATTCACGGAACACCCGAGGTCCGTGGTTCCAGAACCAAATGTCCTTAATCAGCATTATTAGAGTTGTGCTGTAAAATTATTCCGCCCGGAACAGAATAATTCAAACGTATCATTCAAGTCCAATAATATATTGATATTCAGAGGGAGATGGAGAGTTTGTTTGTGTTGCCCAATTTTGACCTTTTGTGTTAAAATCTCTAACCTTGTGAGGACTGATAAATCGAGTTTGTGTTAAAGCTGTTAATACGTGTGTGTGTGTGTGTGTGTGTGTGTGTGTGTGTGTGTGTGTGTGTGTGTG